GTTGACTTTGGAGGAGGCTGTTTCCCTCTCAGTGGAGAAACCTTGGTTGGAGGCATGGCAAAAGCAATAGAAGACGGATTTTCTAAGGAGACGTACTATTATATATTGAATCACTAGTTCTCTGTTCTTGTTCAGCTGTGTTAGGTCATGTGACACTTGTTTATGTTGTTATTGTTTTGTTTAGCTAATGATTCCAAAGGTAATCTCTTAGATAGGTATCTGGAGAAGATAATCTCCATGATATTCATGTGGTTGGCCGTCTTTATCTCTTTATCTGATTTCTTTTCACATTTCTATTTACTTTATTGTCTGATAAAATAGGTTTGGCTTGCAGTGATCAGCAAGTCATCTGCCTTTTCACTTTATCCTTTGGATTGGAGAGTTTAGCCTCATAATCTTAACACTGAGATAGGTAGAATGCCAGAAGAAATTTAGCAGTTTCTCTTCTGGCTAATTTCTCTACATTCTAGATTGTAGTTTATAGCCTAGAAATCTGTGCTTGCTAGGCAGATCATTCCGGTATTAGCTGTTTTCACAGACCTAGAGGTATCATCTAGCAGCATTACAATGAACTCAGGCAGGGTTAGACTGAAAATTTAGGTTTGAGAATACACCATTCTAATTGTGCTTTGATTTGTTATTATTACTTAAAACAACTGAGCTCTGGTTTACTGTTGGGCTTCACACAGTAGGTAGAGAATTAGCCACAACCTGAGTCCTCTGGGCCTTCTTGGGCCTCTTGCTCAGTCATCAGAACCACAGGCAGAACAGTGTCTTTCTTCAGACCTGATTTCCCCATCTCAGAGCTCTGCCTCATGGTGAGTGTGGTTTCCCTGTGGCTGCTTAGGCACCCTCATCTATAGGCCCTTTCTCTAGTCCAGACCATACTCTGGTGTGTTCCTGGCAGTATTCCCTGCTGCCTACCCAGTATGTAGTTGCCTACTGTTGGGCAGTAGCTCACTGCTCTGGCATCCTGGTGTGTAAATATTTGTCAAAGGACGGGGGCATTTTCCCATTCCTCAAAAAGCATTCTGAAAAATATGCCTGTTTTCTTAGTCATATTTCCAAATTGTGGCTCAGTTAGCCCATTCATTCCTTGCAGTTGACAGACACTAGCTGGCCTCAGCTGGCCACATAAAGTAAGTATGCAGCAACTTCTGGCACAGTTAACTTTCAAGCTTTAGTACCAGTGAGTCCTAGACCTAAAGGAATCATAGACAACATTGCCTCTATAAGAGAAGACATTGTTTTGTTAACAGAAAAATTCACACATCTCCCCTATCAAGCATTCTAATTTCTTTCACACACACTTGATATTGCAGAGTAAATGATGAGAAAGCTAAGCATAGATTCTGCAGGACAATATTAGCCTTCGTTGTGACTTTAGGTCTAATATAACCTGTCTTTATTCGACTGTACATCCGTGTTTGCCTCTCATAAAGGTGACATTGTTGAGCTACTATCAGTTTGTAGGTGTTTTTCCAGTGTGATTGATTGTCCTGTCACCTAGTCTTACTTGAAATCAAAACAGTCTGCCTCTGTCTTATGGATTATGAGGCTAAAAAGGCGATATTTAACCAAGGAGCTGATTTTTCTATCTTCGTGCAAGACCAAGCAATTCTCATACAAAATTTGAAGTATTGATCTTAGCTTGATTAACACTAGGCTTTAACTAAGCTCAGGATCTATTCACAGTCCCCCCAGTATAGGAAAGTAAATGCTATATGCTTTATTAAACTGCTTGCACTCATTCTGTTCCTTTTTTCTGAGCCCCACCTTCTGACATCCTTTTCTCCCCATTCTCTAGTCTTTTGTTCCACAGATCTGCTCAACCCATTTGTCTGCCCATTTGTCTCCTCATCCTCAGCTGTATAATGTAGTCAACGTATACTCTCTCTCTCTCCCTTTCCTCTCCCTCTCTCCCTCTCTTCCTCTCTTCCTCTCTTCCTCTCTCCGCATTCATAAGTGCCTCAATTCTTTCCTCCTAGTTACAAGTTAATATAGGGACAAGAAGCCATTAGGTGTTCAAGTCTTAATTGAGTTGATCTATTCAGCATAGCAACTGCTTTTTCTTTATTTTCCTTTTTTTGGTGACATGACTTTTCTTTATTAATGCATATTCACAGTTCATGCTATGTACAGTCATCTTGAAATGTGGTTACATGTACACACCACAGCTTGTTTTTTTTGTGTGGTTTTTTTTTTTTTAATCACCTTCCCTCCTCTCTCCCTCCTCCATTTCCCCTATCCCATTTTTCATTCTTGTTGATATTAATCTTAGCTCATGATATGGCATACAGTGCTTATGTTAATTGAGGTTATTAGCATCCTATACATGGTATATCTTTATTCTACTGGTTTCTTCTTCCCCTACTCCTCATCCTTTGTACTTTTTCCCTTGGACCACTTCCCTCTTGCAAGAGATCCATCTATTAGTCCCCTCCTTTTTTTTTTTTGTTTGTTTTGTTTTGTTTTGTTTTATTGAGACAGGGTCTCACTATGTAGTTGAGACTGATCTGGAACTCACTGTGTAGCCCAGGCTGGTCTCAAACTCACAGTGATCCTCCTGCCTCAGCCTCCTGAGTGCTGGGATTACAGGCGTGTGCTACCAAGCCCGGCTATTAGTCCCCTTCTATCTCTTTGTGCTTTGCCTCACTTGAGAGATACTGTACAGTATTTAAGCTTGTGTGTCTGGTTTATTTTACTCAACATTGTATTTTCTGGGTGCATCCATTTTCCTACAAATGTCTCAAATCTGTCATTCTATATAGCAGAATAGTATTCCATTACATACAGATACCATATTTTCTTGTTTTTGGTTTTTTGTTTTTTTTCTTTTTTTTTTTTTTTTTGGTACTGGGGCTCGAACTCGGGTCCTTGTGCTTGCGAGGCAGGCCACTGATCTGCTGAGCTAAATCCCCAGCCCTATACCACATTTTTTTTTATCCCATCATCTGTTGTTAGATATAGAGGCTGCTTCCAGGATTTAGCTATTACAAGTTGTACTGCTATGAACATTGATATTCATGTATTGCTGTAGTAGAATATCTTCAGCTTTTGGAGGGAGATACCCAGCAGTGGCATTGCTGGGTCATGAAATTTCTAATTTCAGTTCTTTGAGAAATCTCCATACTGTTTCTATAGTGGTTGTACTAGTTGCATTCCTACCAGTAATGCAGGGAGGGTTCCTTTTCCACCACAGCATTACCAGCATTTGCTGTTGTTTGATTTATCAATGATTGCCATTCTTTCTAGAGTGAGATGGAATCTTAGCATTGTTTTAATTCGCATTTCTCTAATGGCCAGAGATTTTGAGCATTTTTCATCTATTTGTTGACCATTTGTATTTCTTCCTCTGTGAAGTGTCTGTTCATTTCTCTTGCCCATTTTGTGGCTGGATATTTAATTTGGGGTGGCTTAATTATTTGAGTTCTTTGTATGTTTTAGACATTAGTCCTCTGTCTGAGGAGTGGCTGGCAAAAAGTTTTCCCATTTTGTAGGTTGTCTCTTCACTTTGACGATTGATTCTTTTGCCATATAGAAGCTTTTTAGTCTGATATAATCCCATCTGTTAATTCTTGCTGTTATTTCTTGTGCAATTGAGATTGCTTAGAAAATCCTTTCCTATACTTGTGTTCAGGTTTTTTACGTATTTTGTCTTCCAGTAGGTTTAATGTTTTTATTTTAATGTTTAAATCTTCGATCGATTTTTATTCTAATGTAGTATGTGGTGAGAAATAAGGATCCATTTTCAATCTTCTGCACACAGATAACCAGCTTTCCCAGGACCACTTGTTGAATATGCTGTCTTTCCTCCACCATATGCTTTTGGCCTCTTTGTCAAAGATCAAATAGCTGAATATCTGGCAAAGTTTTTGTACCCTCAGTTCTATTCCATTGATCCACGTATTTGTTTTTGTTCCAGTATGTTGCAATTTTAATCACTGTTGCTTTGTAGTTTAACTTGAAATCAGATATTGCTATGCCTCCTGCTTTATTCTTGTTGCCCCAAATTGCTTCTGCTATTTTACATTTCTTCTGGTTTCATACAGATTTTAGGATTTTTTTTTCTAGATCTGTAAGTATGCTGTTGATCATTTGATTGGGACAGAACTGAATCTGTATAACTGTTTTGCCAGTACGGTCATTTTGATTCTGGATATCCAGGATCAGGGACGTCTTTCCATTTTCTGATTTTTAAAAAAACAATTTTATTTATTTATTTAGTTGTTTGTTTGTTTGTTTATTTTTGGTATTGGAGATCGAACTCGGGGCCTTGCACTTGCAAGCCGTGCAGCGGAACCACTGAGCTAAATCCCCTGCCCTATTTTATTTTTCTTGAAGCTAATGAGAATGGTATTGTTTTCATAATTTCCTTCTCATCCTGTTCATTGTTGGTGTACACAAATGCTAATGATTTTTATATGTTGACCTTGTATCCTGCTACATTGCTATAGTTCGTTATAAATTCATTGAGCTTTTTGGGACATGCTTTTAATTTTTCCCCATTTAGTATGATGCTGGCTATTGGTTTGTCATAAATAGCCTCTATCATATTCAGGTATGGTCCTTCTATATCTGTTTTCTTCAGATTTTTTATCATGAAGCACTGTTAGATTTTGTCAAAAGCCTTTTCTACATTTATTAATTTGATAGTATGGTTTTTTCACCTTTTCTGTTATGTGATGAGGCTATTAGGTGTTGAAGTCCTAATTGAATTGATTGGGAAATAATAGCATAAGCTGTTCGCCACAGCAACTGCTCTTTCTTTTCTTCTTCCTTTTTTTTGGGGGGGGTTTTGAGACAGGGTCTTGCTGCGTAGTCCAGGCTAGTCTAGAACTCACTGTGGAGTGAGCCCAGGCTGGCCTTAGACTAACAACAATTCTCCTGCCCATTTCCCAAGGGCTGGGATTATATACATGTACCACCACGACCCCCTGCTTCTTCCTTTATATAAAATAACTATTTTGAATATTGTAATGTGTAATTTCTTTTCACAGATCATCAATTTCTACATGAATATGCTAATGGAGAGAAGTAAAGAAAAAGGATTGCCAAGTGTGCATGCATTTAATACCTTTTTCTTTACTAAGTTAAAAACAGCTGGTTACCAGGCAGTGAAGCGTTGGACAAAGAAAGTGGATGTATTTTCTGTTGATATTCTTCTGGTGCCCATCCACTTGGGAGTGCACTGGTGTTTAGCTGTGAGTACTTCCTTTATTTTTGATAAAAATTTAAAGAAATTTACATACTTATACAACAAACATGGTTGTGAATAGTAGTTGTACATCTTCTACATTTGATCTTAGCCAAAAGGCTAGGAAACAATTAGTTCTGTATCTTCCTTTGATTACTGAAAGAATAGTGTTTAGTAGTAGATTGGCTAAAAATTGGATCATTCTAACTTTCTGTCTAGAGTGAGAAAAACTTAGACTTTGAAGAAATCTATAGAATTTCCTTTTCTGAAATTTTTTTTTTTTTTTTTTTTTTTTTTTTTTTTTTATTTTTTTTTTTTTTGTACCAGGGATTGAACTCAGGTCTTTGTGTTTGTGAGGCAGGCAGCGGAACCACTGAGCTAAATCCCCGGCCCAACTGAAAATATTTAAAAGGGAGTTATAGAGGGCCAGGGATTTAATTATAAGAGTGGTTCCACCACCTGCCATGCATCCCGGTATCAAAAAGGGGGAGGAGTTATAGGGTATCTGAGCAGCCTCAAGGCAAGGCATTGGGAGAATAATTAACTTTGAGTGAAGCTGCCAGCACAGATTCTGTGACTCTTTTCTGCCTAATCATAGCTTGCCTTGCATATGTAATAATTTAATGTTTCTTACGATTGACCATGTGAATGCATTAATGGGTAATAAAAGTTAAAACACAGTGTGTTTTAAGCTGCATTTCAAAAGCATAAATCCAGAAGGAAATTTCAAAGGTAAAGAAACTAAGCCCAGACTCTTTTCACTATTTTTCCAAAACTGCATGGAAATGATTTTGAGATACTTAACTTGTTGTTTCTTTTCTGTAGCCCACTGTGGAGAGGAAGAACTGAACAATAGAAAAGGTTTCAGGGCAGTAATAGGTCTACTAATTGATCAACCCCCAGCATAGCTCTGTATAAATAACCTCCTTCTTTCCTCTGCAGATTAAGTACAATAATAATGCAGAGTATCAGTCAGACTTCTCATGCTTTCATAGGAAGGCTGGCAGAAGGATTCAAGGGCCAAAGAAAAGGAAAGTTGAGAAGCCAGTTTTCTTCACTTTATAAACACAGATATTTTTCTTATCCTCAGGTTGTAGACTTTAGAAAGAAGAATATTACCTATTATGATTCTATGGGTGGAATAAACAATGAAGCCTGCAGAATCCTCTTGTAAGTAAGGCCTTGAAAACAGAAGTATGGTGTTTAGTACATGCTGTTTTTCCAGCAGTTGGACTCAATTGTTTAAGACCTTAAGAGTGACTAATAAAATCTTAGTAGTAAGAATGGATGTTTTAAATTTAATAAGAAGTAGAGTAATACCAAAAATTTGCCTTAGTAGGGGCAGTTACCATCCCAGTACATGAAAATACAGAGTAGACACATAGAGATATAGTCACTACTTAGAAATCATTTAATTAAACTTCCAACTAAAGCCCATAGAGACAATGATTTACCCAGGTCCTGCTAGTTAGTGGCACAACAAGGAACCAGAACACAAATCTCTTTATACCCCACTTGTTTCTCCTTTCAAAACACCTGTTCCTTACTGTACCACTGATAACCAGGTGGAGGTAGGTTGTAGAAGGTGAGCAGTTTGCACTTTGAAAGAGTGCCCTATATAAGGTATACACACTCAATAATTGATTTTGGTTTTTTTTGTTTTTTTGTTTTTTATGGCACCGGGTATCTAACTCAGGTCCTTGCACTTGCAAGGCAGGCCACCGAACCGCTGAGCTAAATCCCCGGCCCAATAATTGATTTTGGATTGAATTTTCACACAGTAGAACCAAGGTTGACAGTTGTAAATACCTCCATACCACTACAGAAATATTTTGATCCATTAGATTGTGTTCTAAAGGATTATATAAATCAGGAAGAAGAAAAAAATTGTTCTTCATACCAAACAATGTGACACATTCCTGTAATTTCAGCTACTCAGAAGACTGAGGCAGGAGAATAACAAGTCTATAGCCAACTTGAGAAACTTAGCAAGACTGTCTCAAATGAAAAGGGCCAGGGATGCAACACAGTGGCAGAGTGCTTGCCTAACATGCAGGAAACCCTGGGTATAATCCCTACTACAGAAAAAAAAAGTTCCTTGGAGTATAGTAGGTGGATGGAGCATTAGTATCAGAAGCAGAAGGCACGTGTCTTTGAGATTGAAAGAGTTAGTTATGGAGCTATAAAGGCAGCCTGAGCTCCAGTGGAAGCTTAGCAGTCCAACAACTCCCTGCCCAGCGCTATATACTGTTCTTCTCAGAAGAGCAAATGAGACTTCCTGGGATTGCCAAGCCCCTTCTTAGGGTAGCAGCTATCATTGGAGTTTCCCGTAGCTCATCTCATTCTCTTCCACTACCTCTAGGCAATACCTAAAGCAAGAAAGCATTGACAAGAAAAGGAAAGAGTTTGACACCAATGGTTGGCAGCTCTTCAGCAAGAAAAGCCAGGTATATTTTATCTTGTTGCAGTGGAAGTCCTGAAAGTAGGCTCTCTGGGGAGGAAAAGCTTTACTGATAGATTTCTAGGGACTTTCTGTCTTAATGCCTATCTTGACTTCAACTTGGTTGATTGATCCCTTAGGGAAAATAGATTTATTTCTGGGAAAATTTATAATGTAGAACTAAGTTTTCTAAAAGGCAAGTTATTTTGGTGAGTTTTTCATTCCTATAGGAAACATTTGCTGATTATCTGGCCCTTGGGTATGGGGCCTGAGGTATGTGGAAGTCTGAAATATCCCCCTATGTAATTTATATTCAATACACAGACCTGACTAAAATGCACTATTTTTTTCTTTGAGCATCTCTTCTAAGTCAGGGACAGGGTAGTGTCATCTGTTCAGAATTTAGGCAAATATGTAAAATTTTTAAGTTTTGGCTCTCATTTTTTAATGAGAAGAAAAGAAGCTTGCAAAGATACCATCTTGTTGTTTTGTTCTTCCAGGAAATTCCACAGCAGATGAATGGAAGTGACTGTGGGATGTTTGCTTGTAAATATGCTGACTGTATTACCAAAGACAGACCAATCAACTTCACACAGGTGAGCTAAACCTTCAGGAAGGAGGGAGCTCTAAGACCACTTTGTCTCCAGGCTGCTCATAGTTTCTCCATCTGTTCTCTTCTGGGAACTAGGCCTGACTGTCTCTGTGCATTGGGCTATAATTCATACACTGATGTTTATTGCTTATAACAAATTACAAAAAAAAAAAAAAGATAATGATAGACCATATCCTGGGTTACCTTATGTCACAAATGATAGCAAAGGAATCCTGGTTAAAAGACGAGCCTTAGCTCGGCATGGTGGTACACACCTATTACCCCTAGTTATTCTGGATGTTGAGGCAAGAGGATTACAAGTTTAAGGCAATTTATCAAGACTGTGTCTCAAAATAAAATGTAAAAAGAGGGGAGTGGGGATACAGCTCAGTAGTAGATCATTTGCCCAACATGTGCAAGACTTTTGGTTTGATCCCCACTACCCCCCAAAAAATAAAAAGCAGCCTTATTTTCTGCCCATCTCTCCCACCTACCTCAAACCAACTAGATTAGTAGTTGGTTTAAAACCAGTTGGTGTCCGCCTACCTCAAATTACTATTTTTGCAAAGAAGCTGTGGTACTGTGAAAGGGATGAGGAACATTGCTAAGCTGAAATGGTATAACAGTGATGGCGAGCATTTTAGAAACCAAATATCCACACTGCAACCCCGAACTCACTTATTTATCACAAAGTGCCAAACACTGCAATTAAACCTGAATATTCAATGCTCAGCAGCTGGGGTGACTTGGCTCACATGTGACAGAGGGCTCTCCATGCCTGCTTTGGCACGCATGCCATAGGATTGCTACCATCTGTATAGGAAAGAGAGAACTGAGACCTGAGCAAATCTTTTTCTGATTCCCTAGGTTCCAGTTTTGGAATAGGTCTTGACTTGATATGCTAGTACAATTTATTACACTGTCTTCTCACTTGATGCAGCTGGTCACTCTTCTCTTATGATTGGTCATTTCTGTACACTTTGTCCTTCAGACACCAGAATAGATTAGGACAAAGATGATGGCTTATTTTGATCCACTTTACTTCTGTGTGATTATCTTTTTTTTTTTTTTTTTCCTTTGGTACCGGGAATTAAACTCGGGTCCTTGCGCTTGCAAGGCAGGTGCCAGAACCACTGAGCTAAATCCCCAGCCCACTTTACTTCTGTTTGAATCAGTGGTGTTTTTACTTTTTTCTACCATCATCCTTTGTGTAGGTCATATTGAGTTCCTGCCTCTCTTCTTCTGAAAAATGAGTTTTTCCATTTTCAAGCCTGAGTCTTAAAAATTCAATATTGAAAAGTTGATAAGCATAACTTTCAAAATTCTTAAGAGAATTTGGTCATGGCCTGCCTGGTCATGGCCATGGTCATGCCCATTATAACTTAGAAGGCTACACCAGTGGAAAATAGCAGTAGAAAAAAACAGTGGGAAGAAAAAGCCACATGTGATCAAGAATGAATAATTTGAAAGACTAGAAATGCCACTAAGTCCATTAGTTGAAAATCTTCACGAGAAGAATATGGGGGAAAGTGTATTGGGTCTAGGTAAATGAAAATTAAGAATATCTTTGTGTCCCTACAGCAACACATGCCATACTTCCGGAAGCGGATGGTCTGGGAGATCCTCCACCGAAAGCTCTTGTGAAGACTGTCTCAGCAAGCAGACAATGACCCCGTGGGGGACCAGCCCTTTGTTGTCTACAGCCAGAGACCGTGAAAACAGCTGCTCCCAACCCTCTGTTCTTGTATAGCCCTTGAACCTGAACCAGGCCCTGGCAAGATGCATTCACAAGCACATCTGCCTTTCCTTTTGTATCTCAGATACTATTTTTGCAAAGAAACTTTGGTGCTGTGAAAGGGGTGAGGGGCATCCCTAAGCTGAAGAGAAATTGCTTTTCACTTCTTCAGTTCTGCCATCTTGTTTTCAAAGGGCTCCAGCCTTGCTCAGCCCCTAATTAGGGGACTGAGAAAAGCTTGGAAAGAATCTTGGTTTCTTATAAACTGTTGTTGCTAGGCCTTATTGAGAAGTAGAAAAGGGCATGGTCGAGAGGTAGGGATAAAAACCACCAGCATATACATGCACACATATATAACGTGATTTTTAAGACATGTAGTCAGGAAAGTGACTGTAAACTGGACTTTGGAGCACATGCAGAAGTCTCTGCCTTTAAGACCCTTCCTGTTTATATGCCCTATATGTGAAACTAACTGCTTCACTACAAGACTGTGTTACCAATTTCATGCATCCTGAGGCACAGCACATGAGCCCCAGGCAGACTCCAAAGTCCCAGGAAGTTCTTTCCTTAAGAGCAGGGGTTTGCATGTGCTAACCACACATGCTACAGGGAAGACCCACCCAGGGAAGGTTCATTGGAGCAACAAAAGCTCCATTTCTAATGTTGCCTGCTTCTGACCAAGAAGAACGACCTCAGTCTTTAGCATAAAATTACAGTGTTGGATGAATCCAGGTCTAGTTGGTCTGTGGGTAGTTTAAGTGTGTTTCTAACCACAGAGAGATTTACATATATATGTATATATATTCATATATATATATGTGTGTGTGTGTATATATATAT